CGCGCGCGCGCGCGTCCTCCCTTCCACACCGCTTAACAACAACAGATGGTGGACCGCCCTTCTCCCGCTCGCCCTCCTGCTGCTCCTCCCTCTCTTCCTCCTCCTCCTCCCACTGCTCCTCCTACTCTTCCCCCCTTCCTCCTCCCACTCCTCCCGCGGGCCGCGCCCTCACCCGCTGGCAGTTTGTGCTGGGCAGTCTGCGCCGCTCGATTCTCGGTGTCGGCCCTCTGCCCGCTAGTGTCCCGCTCGCGCTGCCGCACGAACCGATGCGCCCCCAACCGAGGAGCCGTCCTCGGTCCCCTGTGGTACCACACCCCCACCTACCACCACCATCGTCGTTGTCTGCGGCACCACGCCCACCACACCCCCGCCTACCACCACCACCGTCGTCGCAAATACGGCCCCCGCCCCCGCGACAGACCCTGCCCTTTTTCCCCCTGCGCAGTTTCGCATCGTGGCTGGCCCCGCCCGTCCCGCAGTTTTTCCTCTTTTTCCCGCTGCTCTGTTTCGTCTCGGCGCGCCGTAGCTGGCCCCGCCCGTCCCGCAGTTTGCCGTGGGCCCGCAACTGCGTGTGACAGTGGGACCGCTGCATTTTTTAGTTGTATAGAGAAGACCTTGAGAAAGCTAGAACTAATATGTTCAAGGCCCAGAAGAGGATGATCAAACAGGCTAACAAGCGTCACTCTCCCTCTACCATACAGCCAGGTCACTGGTCTGGGTGAAAAGATCCGAAGTAACTAACAAACAGGATATCTCAAAAACGTTGTTGCCTGTTTACTACGACCCGTGGCAGATGCTTGACACGGTGCGGGCAGATGCCTCTAGACCTTGCTACATACTTGTACCCCCTCACATCAAGACGTACCCAATCTTCCATGCTTCAAAGCTGCCGCCTTTCAGTCCTGCTGATGCATTTCCTGACAGGCCGCCGCAGTTTGGACCTCCCATCCCTGGAAAGAGATATGAAGTCGAGACTATAGAAGATCAGTGGGGCACATGCCCCGATTGTGAATATCTTGTGAAGTTCTGCTTCCAACCTCATTCCAAGGATCAATGTTGAACGTGGAAGGAACTTCTTAAGTCTGTGAATCCAGTCATGCGCGCCTATGAGGCTGAACAGAAAGGGCAACCTCTCAGACGTTCTCCTTGTGGACACTCCTAGCTCGGGGTCCTCGCTCCTCGGGGGGGAGGGGGGGGAGGTAGCGGACTGTAAACTGGGGTCCTCGCTCCTCGGGGGGGAGGGGGGGGAGGTAGCGGAGTGTAAACTAAGTACTCACGTGTTTTGCTAATTTTTCGTAGTCTTGCTTCCTCTGGGGTTTGATCCCTGGACCTATGCCTAACAGGGACTGCTCTAACCTTGTGTGGAGTTTTGAGCTCTTTGGGGCTTGATCCCCCAACCTGTCCCTCATTGTTGTAGGTTGTAGGCCGTTGTTTCCAGTCTTGCGCACCTATGAGGCTGAACAGAAAGGGCAACCCCTCAGACGTTCTCCTCGTGGACACTCCTAGCTCGGGGTCCTCGCTCCCTGGGGGAGGTAAGACTGCAATGAATCGCAGGTTTTAGCGGGCTGTAAACTAAGTAGTTAGGTGTTTTTCTAACTTTTCATGGTCTCGCTTTCTCCGGGGTTTGATCCCTGGACCTATGCCTAACAGGGACTGCTCTAACCTTGTGTGGAGTTTTGAGCTCTTCGGGGCTTGACCGCCAAACCTGTCCCTTGTTGCTGTTCGTTGAAGGCCATTGTTTCCTTTCTTGTTTTACCTGTCTTCCCGTTCTGCCACTTTTCTGTCTAGGTGCGTAGCCCATAGGCTGCCTGTTTTGGTCTGTCCTAGTGGTAGGTCGGTCCTAGGCTGTAGAGCGAGGGTTGAGGGAAGAAAAGCCTCGAGGCTGATGGGCAACTGGTGCTGTTGGTCATTTTTTTTTCCACAAAGTTGCGTGAGGTAGCATGGGTGGAGCAGCGTTATTTTGGTACAGCGCTGGGCATCTTCTACCGGAGCTCGCTGGCAGCCATATCTGGTATCACCCAGCCTCCTCCTGAACAGCGTGGGGCAGCAGGGCCCAAGTGCTGGTTGGCGCCTCCTCTTACCTGTGCTGTTGGGGATAGGCAGCGCTGCCATCTAAACTCTTCTTCAAAGTGTTTGTCGAAGCGGCAGCCATCTTCTTCTCCATCAACTTGCTGTTCTTCTTCTTCATCCTGGGAGCCGTGCTCCCCTGTTGAGCGGACACTTCATCTGCAGTGGCATCACGGTTGAGGCAGAGTGGCATGTTGGAATCAGGAGGGTGTGTGGCAATTGGTGGACTGGTTAGGCTGGGTGCTGGAGTTAGGAGCGGCGCTGGAGCTTCACCTCGAGGGAGGAAGAAGAAGTATCCCTTACTTGATGAAACTCTGTTCTTAGTTCGTGGGTGTTAATAACGTGGTTGGGATTCTTGGAAACAGTGTCTGATTGGCTGAAGAAGAGAGGGTTAATTAGAATTGGCTTTGAATTCCAATTCTATTTTTGGTCTTCGAGTGCTTCCACTGTGTATTCCCCCATCCGGTGTGGTGTGAATTGCTCTCTCCAAGATCTCTTGTCATTGCGCATGTGTATGGGAATGTGTGAATGCCATGCTGTATCTCGTGTCAATGAGGCACATAACACGACTGTTGTGACAACGATGAGGACAACAACAACAAGGATAATGATGGGGGCAATGATGACACATACGAAGGTGAGGATGACAATGACGACAACGATGAAGATGCTGGTGATGATGACAATTGTTTTAGATCCTCTCAAGACTGTACTCCAAGGATCTCAGACCTTCTCCCAGAGACCATTTGGTTTCCCTCTGTAGGGCCTTTCCCAGGCCTCTAGGGCCTCCCAATCACAAGGCCTAGACCCCTTCCTAAGCCCTGTAGGCCCTGCCCCAACACTGCCCCCCATGCACTTGAAAAGAAAGAGAGAGAGAGAGAGAGAGAGAGAGAGAGAGAGAGAGAG